ACAATACCTTTCTCTACCCTTCCCAAATGGGAATGAATAAAAGAGATAATGGCATTTATCTTCCCATTCTTTTCGGCTGTTGTCCTTTAGTGTTAGAGATGCTATGCTGGATGAACCATTGAGTATAATTCAATGTTGCAAAGCAGTCTCACATTAAAAAAATTTAACAACAAAAAAACTCACTTCAGGTTCTTTTTTATGGGTGACCAAACAGATCTGTGTGCTTTTCTCTGACACTCACTATGAAAGCCCCCTTCACTCATATGATTAGGATCTAGGCAAGCAGATCCACACCATAACTGTTCCAAAACATTTAAGCTTCATAAATGCCATCTGGAGAAAAGAAGGCTCTAGATACAGTCGCTCTTATTTGTGAATTCCGTATTTCAGAACTTGCCTACTTCTTAAAATTTATTTGTAACCCAAAAATAGGTACCGATTGTTCTCAAGAGTCATTTATGGGCATGTATATCCAAAGCAGAGAATTTTTTCATTTCAATAGTTTTGGAGGCACAGGTGGCGTTTTGTTACATGGATAAGTTCTTTAGCGGTGCTCTCCAAGATTTTGGTGCATCTGTCACTAAGGAGTGTACACTATACCCAATACGTAGTCTTCTAACACTCACCTCCCTCCTAGCCTTCCCAAAAGTCCATTATATCATTCTTATGCCTTTGAATCCTCATAGCTTAGCACTTACTTATAAGTGAGGACATATGATATTTGGTTTTCCATTCCCGAGTTACTTCACAAAGACAATGGCCTCTAGCTCCATCCAAGTTGTTGCAAAGGCCATTATTTCATTATGTTTTATTGTGGAGTAGCATTCTATGGTGTACATACACATCTTCTTTATCCACTCATTAGCTGATGGGCATTTTGGTTGGTACCATATTTTTGCAGTTGTATATTGTACTGCCATAAACATGCATGTACATGTGCCTTTTTCATATAATGACTTATTTTCCTTGGGTAGGTACCCAGCAGTGGGATTGCTGGAACAAACAGTAGTTGTACTTTAAGTTGTGTAAGGACTCTCCATACTGCTGTCTATAGTGGTTGTACTAATTTACATTCCCACCAGCAGTGTAAAAGTGTTCCCTTTACCACATCCACGCCAACATCTATTTTTTAAAAATTATGGCCTTTCTTTTTGCAGTAGTGAGGTGATTAAATTGTGATTTTAATTTACATTTCCCCAAAGCAGGGAAAATTTTGAGTCACCTGACGCACATATTCTTAGCTGAGGTTGAACAAGGTGACACTATGACTTACTGCTTCAGCTCTCATGTTGTTAAAAAAAAAAAAAAGTGTCTTTTTTGTGGTCTGTTTAGTGCCACATTTTTCACATTTTTGTGCCTTTTGTCCATGATTTTGCTGTTTAAAATGGCCCCTAAGCATAGTGTTGAGTGCTGTCTAGTGTTCCTAAGTGCATGAAGTCTGAAGTGCCTTACAAAGAAAATACACGCATCAGACAAGCTTCATTCAGGTATGAGTTACAGTACTTTTGTCTGGTTGGCCATGAGTTCAGTGTTCATAAATCAAATACATATATATATATATAAAACAAAGGCTCTTTCAACAGAAATGCACATAAAACAAGGCCATGCTCTGATTAGTGGACAAGAATGTTATCAGAAGCTTGAAGAAACCTAACCTTGTATTTCCCCTAGAAGCAATAGTTCTGTATTTGCTAATTCAGTAATGGTGACAACTTTATAAAACATAACTACCGTAAATAATGAGAATAAACTGCGTATTACTAAAAAGAAAAAACAGCACAGGGGTAGTAACTTTACCAGGGCCACCTTCCTGCTTTGCTGAACCAATCTCCATAAGAAGACAGTTTACCACGGCTTAGGCAGAAAAAGTCTTGAGTTTTAATCTCAGGTCTCTCACTTACTAGCCATGTGACCTTCTTCTAGACACTAAACCCTTACAGTCTTATTTTCTTAGAGGTAAAATGGGTAAAATACCATTTAAAATCCAGACTATCTCATCAGCTCACACACATAATCACATAGATATTATACATGAACGAATATTTTATACTTTTAAATTCTATGCAAATACAAACTACATTATTTCTTTATCATTCCAAACATAAAATTTGGTTGTTTTGCAGGAAAATGCATGTAGCTTAATAAAGATGTCATGGTTAAAGACTAATGGACTTTCTGTATTACAGACTTCACTGTGGAAAAACAGCCAAGTATTCAGAGACAAAATGAAGCTGACGTTAAATTATGGAGTTACAAATGACAACTACAAATGCATCAATTTACTGGACAAATCTGAGAATAATTTAAGTGAATAATTATGATGCTCCTTTCTGTGATATTCTCCTATGTCTCCTCTAATTTAGTACAGCTACATTCACTAAGCAATGGACTAACCAAGACATTATTGGCTGAATTATAAGCAGCCTCTAGGCAAGCCCAAATGTAAAGCTGGAACAGAGAGGAAAGCTGCCAGGTTAACCTCTGTCTCCATCCTTCCCTCATTTGTTTGAGACACTGTGGAGAGAGCTCTTATGACCCATACTTCAGCCTCCTAAAAGTTCTGCATATAGGCCTGATGGCAGGGAGACTCCCTCATCCCAGTATACCTCTAAATGCACTTTCAGAAAAACTTTTTGTTTTTTGGGAAACAAAAAGCTACCGAGAGTTTAAGGCAATTCCTCATTTTTTCCTACATTGGCTGAATACCAGTTAATGAATAAAGTTGGGAAAGACTACTGTAAGAGTCTTTTCTATGCTCTGAATTTCTAACTCGTAGATAAGCATCCACAGAATTTCCAAAACGCATTAGATGAAAACAGTGAGGCTTATGAGCCAACCACCTCTATTACCATATCAAGTTACATTAAAGCATCAAACATTATCGGGGATGCCAATCAATATTTGTCTTTATCTAATCAGGGTCTTCCCTCCTGATAAAATAAAAGAAAACCAGGATACAGTTGGGCCAAATAGAGACCTATGTGCATTGTCTGGTTTCACAGTATTCCTCAGAGCTTTTTAAATAGTTTGAAAAGATATTTAAATGCCTAAAACATATTTGTTGTTTTAATAATGAAATGGCAGGTGGTGTGGGGACAAACAAAACAAAACAAAACAACTAGGGCCTTTGAGCTTCTTAATTTACTTTTCTGTACAGATATAGGACAGGCGTCCCCACCTAAAAAGACTGACATTGCTTCCCATTGTTGACAAAGGTTTTAACCCTCAGGACCTCTAAAAGGTATGCTCATAACAAATACTGATTTTCTGCTTCACTTAGGCCATCCCCACAACCTGCAAGTGATGCTGGAGAACAACTGTTCTGTATTATCCTTAGAACCGGAAATGAACTAAGTTTCTGACTTTCCCCAAGAGCAATCTTCTACACCCTTCTCAGTCATTTGAACAAGGGAAGAACCTGGATGGAGGGGAAGAGCCCCTACAATCAGAAATGCCTTTTCTAAAGACTAACATTCCACATGTCCTCATCATTTGTGGGAGCAATTTAAAAAATAATCCTTGGAAGTCATTTCTCTAAACCTCCGTTCTCACTGTAAATTATTCCTCCCTTGCCATACCACGCCTACATGAGACATCACAATAGCCACCTAACTTGGTTCTGCTGTGTCCTCTCCTTGCTACTCAATGCAGAGGACCAGCAGCTGATTAGACATGCAGAGTCTCAGGCCCCACTCCACACCTACTATGTCAAAAACTGCACTTGAAGAAGACCCTCGGTGATTCACGTACACATTAAGTTTGAGAAGCACTGTTCTGAGCCATCTACACTATCAGCCAAACCATTCCCTTTTTAAGTAAATGACTACTGCTCAGTCTGGCTAGAAGGCCCAAAAGAGACACTTCAAAGTCCTCAGCCTTACTTTCCACTCCTGCTACTATGCACTCTCCATGGTAGGGAGACTGCCTTCTGGAGAACACAGGCTGAACACCTGGCACAGTGCTTAGTGGATACTAAGGATATCTCTTCCTCCTGAGATCTATTTGAAATTCTCTAGTGAAGTGGTTATAAGCCTAGGTTCTAACATCAAAGTTAGAAGCTCTAAAACTTACTTACTCTATGAATTCGAAAAACTAATTTTACTTCACCAGACCCCTTTTCACCTTTGTGAACTGAAGATGTTTATGATAGTGCCTTTCTCCTGGGGTTGCTGTGAAAGCACTCAATTGGTATTAGCTATGACTAGTGTTCAAGCTTAGATCAGCATCTCTTCAGTGACTGCTTTAGTTGCTTTAGTCTTGGATACTTTTTCTCTCATTTAAAGAGCTACCGCACCAACAGGTGAAGCACACAACTTAGCACCCAATTATAACACTCCTATAGGGGCCTTTAACTTTTTCATATTGTTGATTTTGTCATCTAACTTGGATCTTAATAATAAAAAGGGGTTAGGATTACTGTTGTTTTTACAGATTGTGAAAGTAATTCAATGGCCATTGGAGAAATTCATAGAAAGTAGAGAAAAATATAAAAAAGAAACTGAAAATCAGCCATAATCTCACCCCTCAGAGACAACTGTTAACATTTAGAGTATTTCCTTCCAGAGAGTAGATCTTACGTTTCAGGAGGGCAAGGAGCAAGTCTTAACCTTCTTGGAATTTCCCATGACTTCCCTTTATCCAATAATGCTCTTTCCTATCTACCCCATCAGCTAACCTAGCACAACGCTGAGCATTTACCAGTGGACAAATACATACCTGTTCCTTAGATGAATGAGGTAATGATTTAAGTGGCTGGTCCCTATCTGTATCTGTAAGACCCCTATAGGCTTGTGCCTGTAGATATTATACACAGACTATCTATAGAAAAAGGGAAGTTGTCAGAGTCAGTGACATAATTTGGTTGGTTCTTCACTCAGTTCTAACTGCTGTTAAGTGTGCCCATATCTGTATTCTACGTGACTGCTGCTTGTGTTTGGTGGTAAAACTGCATTTCTGGTAGTCTCACATTTTCCTTTTCAACATACTCAGATTGCACATACCTACAGGAATGGTCATCCCATGAATTTTATCAGCCCAGCCTGCATAATACCGAAGGGTTTTGATGACACCCTGCAAATCCACATAAAAAGCTTGCAGGAATGGTTTGCCACCATTTAGGGATTCCATGGTCTGTTGGAAAAGAAATGGAGAGATATTAAGTTCCCAGAACTTTCCAGCAATACACTAACTAATTTCTGGAGCAGAAGAAAAAAGGAACAGAGAGAATACAAATGAATATGAATGGAGATGCATACCTGGTCAACTATGAATTCTCAAATAAAAAGATTTCTAGTACTGTCAATTTGGTTTAGTTCCCACTAAAAACCACACGGAGTATATAGGTTCATGTTCCTGTGCCTGTGTGCTACCAGTAACCACTATCCAAATACATTAACACAATATTTCTTTAACTAATGATAAAGAAATGTTCTGCTTGTCAAAACAGCTTCCATTATATTAATGATCAGAGCTCACTGGGATTTCTTTGGTGTCTACATCAGTAATCTGAATCCATCTAAAGAGGAGCAGAAACATGGGCTCTTTATGCAACTGATGAGAATAGAAAGTGTTCTCCACAGCTGCCAAGATCCCTGCTGAGAAACGGAATATCCACAGTGCACAGCGAGTTTATTTATTACCACCAAATAAACAAGATCTCCTCTAGGGAAGCCCAGATGTTAACAACTTAAAGGCTGGTTTTTAGTAAACATTTATGTTAACAACCATTATCTATGAAGAGTGAAATATCTGCTCTATTTAATAAAAATGGCAATATTGAACTGCTTTACATTATAAACGTTATTATTTTAATGACATGTTCCTAAACTGGCTAAGTCTGTAACAAAAACAATGAAAAATGAACATGCTGAAATAGAAGAGTATTTGGACTTTAGAAATATTAAAGGTGTTACAAGTTTGACAAGTGAAATAAAAAAATATGTCTGGGCAATTTCCTTTTTTTTCCCTATATGTTATAAGACACACTGACAAGACTAAAATTAAAATATTCTCCAATCAATGAGATGAAAATACTATGACTTCCATTACAATTTATGTACTTGCTATGTGAATGAAATGAACCTTATTTAAAAACATCATGTTACTTATTACTGTATACTGGCTCACCCTTTAAAAAGGGAATCAAAATATTTCCTAGTACTTTTTAGAACATGCATGTTTATACGATAGGGATTACATTCTCTATGCAGCCAGTATAGCACCAAAATCTACACAACATAGAGTGAACAGTGTCAATAACCAGAATCTGGGCTGTCTAAATAGTCTCTGTGAGCTGCTGACACCAGTTATATTCATTGAGAATTGCCAGTTGTAGATTTATTTTCAATTGTGTTTACTCTGGATACAGTATTAATTTCAGTTTTCCAGTCAAGAGCTCCCCTTTCATCCACAGGCTCCCTCTTACTAAAATTCACTTTTCTCATAGCTTGAGAGTGTTTAACAGCATGAATCTCATTTAGGTGTGGTAGGAAAAGAGACTTGATCAGTGAGACACATAGAAGAGAATGAAAGATATTTGAGTGTTATTGTATGAAAATATAACTGCAGAAATTAACTAATCATCTTCTAGTACAGTGTTAATCCAGTGCTATAGATGTATCTTTAGCTCAATTAAACAGTCATTTATTGACCACCTAGGTGCCCTTATTTGCCACTTACATGCTAAGAACCATGCTAGGATTACCAAAACAAAACAAAACAAAACAAAAAAGGTAAAATACAAGTTTAATTCTCAAGAAAATCATAATTCAGGGAAGAGATAAGTATAAAAAGCAGTCTTCTCTAATGTGTCCCAAAAAACTTGGTTTTGCATGATATTGATATGTTAGCCAGAAAAATGGTAATGAGGCTCAAATAAGCTTGAAAAGCGTTTAGTAGGCTTTTCCCGTGTCCTTTAATATGCTCAGTATCTTGTCAATCTCCAAGAAGGAGTTTCTTTACCATGAAATATTGTTTTCACAGTATGTATAAACACCTCATTCGAACAGTATTCTCTAGGATGCCAGATTAGAAAATGTTTTCATTCACAAATAAATGTTATATATAGCTAGAATCCCAAACCATTTCCACAAAGGAATCATTTTGTTCCCATACTATGAACAGATTTCTGAGGGGAATAGTAGAAGGGAAGAACTATGGTAGGAGGGACACTGAGAAAGGGAATGAATGCTTGCTTTCCCCGAAGCAAGCCCAATAGTGACCTATTTTCCCAAGCAGAGGGAACGATATCGTACTCACGGCTTGAATGCCCTAACTGAACAAGGAAACCCTAAATATTCACTGATCCCAGGTAGAGATCCCAAGTATATAGTGCATATATTCCTGAAGGGTTCAGGTTTTCAAAAAGTTTATATTCTCTAAGAAATTGATTTTTATTTTAAAAACACCAGCAACAACAAAACCCATTAGTGCAGGAGAAGTTTCTTATTTGAGGAAAATAATTGTTTTAGTGAAAGAAGTTGCTATCTCCTGCTGTCTCTCCTTCCTACTGGCTCACAGAATCAGAAGGCAAATGGAGCAGAAGTGTATGAGAAATGCATACTACGCCCTCCGCTTCCGAAGGCCTCTCTTCAGTCAAAAGAGGTTAACTCTGGGGAGGTAAAACTTGTTCTACTTCATTCTGAAAATAATCATCTGATATTGGTTTTCTGTAGGCAGCACGGTGACTATCTTGTTGCTTGACTTTTTTTAATTGGTCATGCGGAGGGAGAGTTTTATAAAGGAAGGTCCTTACCAGTTGGGAAAAGCTCTAGTTTTCTCTTTAAAATTCAGTGATAGGAGACATTCAGCTGATCCTCCACTTCCCCACCTGATCCCCAAATCGAAACACGTCTAATTTTTCATATGTATTATGTACTCCTTAGCTTTTTCCCCAGGTCTGCTTTAAAGTATCCTTTTAGAAAGACCGAGGAATTCAAATTTCAGCAGAATGGCAAATTTGGGGTAAAGACTTAATGTTTTCTAAGGTTACTTACTGCAAGAACTGCCCTGTCCCGTTCCACCAAGTCTGCAAGCTTATCCAACAGACGTCCTCTTTCTGAAGCATCCATCCTTCTCCACACTGAACCAAGAGAGAAAGCCAGGCGGGCTGCCTGCACTGCTTTGTCTATATCTGCCTGTTAGAGAGGAAGAGGCACAACTGAAGAAAGATAAACACTCCAAATAAAGGAAGAACCATCTGCTCTCATGAAAAAAGTGAAGCATGAGCATCTACTGGTGTATGGAGAGCATATGTTTACTGCTCTGCTGTTTGAAGGCAGTTAATTTCGTAAGGAATCTTTTTCTACAAAAGACATACCTTGTCTGCTTCTTGAACTTCACACACCTGTTCTCCTGTGGCTGGATTATAGACAGGGAATACTCTCCCACTCTCTGAGTTCTGCCATTCGTTGTTTATAAAGATCTAAGGGAGTAGACAACAGAATGGGATCTGTGACACAGGTGATAAAGAGCCAGTCAATGGCCAAGTGTTATGGAACTACTATGATAACATTTGTTATACAATAAAAGTACAGAATTTGAAGTGTTCTAAGAGACCTTTCTAGACTCAACCCCAATTTAGAAATTTCCTCTGTTTTTCTTTCAACATTATCTGAAGGCTAACTACAGTTCTTATCTTTCATGAACCTGTCAATTAATGAAAGATACAAATAAGGACATAAGTCTCACATACATACTAATCATACACTGAGGCTAAGGTAACATTTATTGATAGTCCAAGATCTGGCCAATATCCCTAAGGGTTAAATAGTCGATCAAACTGACAGTCATCAAGCCTTAGATCCCACTTTCTCTGCCAGAGGCCTAAGTGACTTCTCAAGGAAACCTGAATGGTACTGCAAAAAGCACTCACCTAATTTATAGTCAGGTCCTGACCAATGCCTCTGACCAAACTAGTGAGTTAAACAAGTGATATGTGTAAATCCAAGTTAGATTTATTTCCCTTTGCTGAACAGGCTGTATCACATAGCCAAAAGAGAGGGGGATGGGGAGTTGGTAGGTGGGGTATAACTTTCAAATGATCACCCCAGTATTTCCTAAAAGGCTTGGTCTCCTTAGACATGAAATTGAGATTATATTAAAATGGCAAAGAGATGAAAGATTTGAGAAATTATTCACGTCAATTTCTCATAAGATTTGTAATAAATGAGTTAAAGGACAAGAGAAAAGATAAAGCAAGAAAAAATTTAAATTGTTATTGGTATTGAGTGAGAAACCTAAACTAATATTTTTAGACCATGTTAGCTTAGAAGACATACAAAGATGTTTTACTCTATAAAATTTATGGCACCACAATGAAATTTCTGAACTTATGAACCAGTCAATCATCCAATTTAGGATAAACACAATGATAAACTGATTTATATTTGTTGCCTGCCATTTAAAAAATAATAAGAGATAAGGCTTAATAAATACAAATCTACCATTGGAAAATATCAAATTCTAGAAAATGTCCCAAAGCTTTTCTTTTACATTTTTTCCTTGATTTGATAAGAACAATGAGCCCATGTAGAAGGAGGCATTTATTTAACTACAACTTTCTTTTCCCAAAAGATTTTTAAGATAAAGGAAAATAAAATATCTTAAATTTGTAGAGCACTTAATACAGCTATACTGACACAAACAAAACGACCTTTTAATTGTACATTTTACAGTTTATAACATACGGTTCATAAACATGCTTAACATAATTTACCCAATAAAACCTCAGATAACTTCTAGTCACAGGAAAGACAAAGATGATTAAGAGAGTTCCAGCCCTCTAGAGTCTGACAGTCTCTATAGTTTCTTTAGTACTTAATAACCCTGTGAAGCAGGATTTTATTATCTCTATTAAACATGAAAAAATTGAGAGACAGGGAGCTTGAGTCTGAAGAAGCAGGTTCATATTGTGACTGACTCAAAGGCTACTACATTCTTTCCAATATACATAATTTCCAGGATTAGCCAGTCTGAAGTAACAGAACTAGTATGTTCAAGCCTGAGCTAAGAGTTAAAATTCTTGAATTACTGGTCTGGTTCTCTTTTCATTCAGTCTACTTAACAAATTTTCTCACAGCTCATAGCTCATTACATTTGCATTCTCCTTTGAAACACAGTATGATGTCCAGGTAACAAAAGGAGAAAATTAAAAAGTTAGTTTCATTAAGGATCCACTTCTAGGATATTACCAGGTTTAAGGAAAAAGCAGTCTTACCAATGTCATGATCCTTTTATTCACCATGTGACTGAATCAAACTTTTTAACCTTTGGAATATCACCAGAGTCCACTGATTCAAGTTTAATTTTTTGTTTTGTTTTGTTTTGTTTTGTTTTGAGACAGAGCTTTGCTCTGTTGCCCAGGCTGCAGTACAGTGGCTCTATCTCAGCTCACTCACTGCAATCTCCATTTTTCGGGTTCGAGTGATTCTGCTGCCCCAGCCTACCAAGTAGCAGGGATTACAAACGCCTGCCACCATGCCTGGCTAACTTTTGTATTTTTAGTAGAGTCGGGGACTTACTATGTTGCCCGGGCTGTTCTCAAACTCCTGACCTTAAGTGATCTGCCCCCTCAGACTCCCGAAGTGCTGGGATTACAGGCATGAGCTACTGTACCTGTCCCCAAGTTTAGTTTTTAAGTTTATCTGTGCAGCAATTTTAATTATTTGTAAAGATAGATATTTCATGACTTTTATTGTTTCCTACAGGTTTTCTGAAAATCAAAAAGAAAAACTACTTCATAATTTAAACTCGTTTTCTTACTCATCACTTAATCTATTGATCATTTTATAAATCTAAGACGCAGTATAGGATCTAAAATACATTATGAGATTTTAGTGATCTTACATTTCCTGCATTTTAAAACATTTTCGTGTTTCATCATGCTAGGAATTATTTCATCATCAGTCATCAATTATTTCTAACTGTGCTTAAAAAACTAAAATAAGGAAACAAAAAATTGTAAAATTGTCTGGAAAGGAATGTCGCCACTCTATCATCCTTCAGTTTTCTAATTGTGTTGTCCAATACATCACCTTTCAAGAAGGTATAAAACAAGTCTAGAGATGCCATCTTTATCATATTCTGTTCAGCTTCCATTGAACACAGTTAAGAATTTGGAATTCTTACTTTTCTGCCCATAATGTGATAAGGAATAAAATTAAGAGAATGGTATTTCACAATTATTAGATGAGTGAAAAAATGAAGGCAGAGACAGAGCACTTGAGAGTCTAATGATTCTACTTCATCATTTAGTATTTTGCAACAAGAACCTGGACCATCCTGCTTTGGTAAAAGGACATATGACAATTCTTTTATCTTTTCTAATATTGGTTGGTAAAAATGTACTGCCAGGCATGGTGGCTCACACCTGTAATACCAGCACTTTGGGAGGCCAAGGCAGGTGGATCATGAGGTTAGGAGTTCAAAACCAGGTTGGCCAAAATAGTGAATCTCTATAAGAAATTAGCCGGGCATAGTGGCACATGCTTGTAATCCCAGCTACTCAGGAGGCTGGGGCAGGAGAATCACTTGAATCTGGGAGGTGGAGGTTGCAGTGACCTGAAATTGCACCACTGCACTGCAGCTCGGGCAACACAGTGAGATTCCATCTCAAAAAATAAAAATTACTTCATATTCATAAATAAACAAATGTTAAAGGTAGGTACATATGTAAAGGTGACTGAAAAAACAGAGATTATGTAGAAATCTTAAAAGTTCATTGGCTTGATCAAGCTGATTGACCCTTAAAAAAGTGAAAATAAAAAGATTTTTGTAATTGTGAAACAAAAATATGGCCACCTTTTTTTTTTTTAACAGAATCATGAGCTCCCAAATTTTTCACTAGCATTACACTGTGATAATACATATCGTAGAAGAACCAGAGATAATGATGAGCTATCACTTACTAGAGATCTGTTTAAAATCTGGAGCCAGTATTTATGAGATGATTATGTTCTTGGTTCATATATGACAGCCATGAGCAGTTACCTGCATTCAGAGGCATTGCCAAATTCAGGCTACATTACCTCCTAAATCAGGAAAATGTGAAATAAAAATATGGTTTGCCATGTTTAAATTCTTATTCTGCTGTTTTTTTATCAACTCATTCTTACTTCTGTAAATTATTCATAAAATAATAAAAATAAAATGAATACATTGGAACTAGACGGTGAGTGATGGCTATTTTTCCTGGTGTGCCAAAATCAAAATTTTAATTTTACTACATTATTACTTTTGGAGACCCAGTGCTGTAAAATGGCATTTAAAAAATTATATGGACAATGTTGTTGGTACATGGAATAACAAATATCTCCAAGGTCACTATTTTAATGTTTGCAGCTCTCTAGGGAACTTCCAAAGCTTTGAATTCTGTCTATAGCATTCTTCTCTGACCAGGGCTCTTTGGAGAAATGGTTTATTTCAGAACAGTAGCAGGGAAAGTAAAAGGTGAGCCTGGAACACTGTGGTGCCTGAAACCAAGTAAATACTTAAAAATTGATAGAAACCTAATAAAAAGATATAGATGTCAACATGTAGGAGCTCCCAATGGTCAATACTGGAATAATATAAACAAAAAATAAATACTGCTGGAAATAGATTATTGCCCATGGAATGAAAAAGACATCCTAAAAGTTCATAATGATATAAATTTTTAATGAATAAATGAATAATTGTGGGATAAGGAAGAGCTCTTCTTCACAGAATTCCAACTACTAGATGTAAAGAAACGATAGGATTAGATGATTATTATTTGTCAAATACCATAGTAATAACTGCTTCAGGCAAAATAATCACTACACAGTAAAATTAGTGGGAAAATATACAATGAAGAATGTACGATGGGTGTTCGTGTAGTTTCAAAATACCTCCCCTCAAGATATTTATTAGTTACAAAGGAAAAAATAGTAACTTTATGTTGGAGAAACTTGGCAGACACCACCTTAATCAAATGATTAAAGCTGACATCACCAGCAATGGGACAAACTGATATCATATACAGCTGGTATGATATGCTAAGAAAGACACAAGATCCCTTCTGTGGTATACTTACTCAAAAGGCATAATCTAAATTCAATCTTTAGGGTACAACAGGTAAATCCAAACTAAAGCATGTCCTACAAAATAATTGTCCCATACTTCCTTAAACTGCCAACGTCATGAGAGACAAAGACTAAAAACTGTTCCAAATTAAAGGTCACTAATAAGACATAAAAATCAAATGCATCGTGTAACCATGGATTCTCTGCTGGGCCAGGAAAAAAAATACATATTAATGGGACAACTGGTGAAATTTGAGTAAGATTTTTAGATCGGATGATAATATTGTATCAATGTTAATTTCCTGATTTTTATAATTTTTATAATTTTAAGATCATTTGGGGAATGTGGATAAAGAATAGATGAAAATTTTTTGCACTATTT